AAACCAGTTCAATGCGCATTACAAGTGCTAGTGTAGAAAGACCTGAAGCATTAATTAATGGATAAACACCTCCAATGAGGTGCTTATGAACTTTGGAAAGAAAGGGCAAAGCCCACAAGGTTTACAAAGTCCATAAAGGCCTCATATGAGGTGTTTATCTGTTTTAAAGATATTCATGGAGACATAGTTATTACAAGTGATTAGTGATCTTCAAGCAAAGTATTCTGTTGAATGGCTTCGATGTAGTGGTCTCCATAGTATTCGCCTATTCATATCATTAACATAAAAAAAATTATAAATGGTTTAATTGCCTGTCAAAATTACCATTGAAATAGACATGCATTAGTCTGTACATTTACACACCACTTACCATCATCACTGATTCAGGCAATGCAACACAGCAATTATGAACTCTCTTGATCCTTATAGAATGCCCAGTTTGTTATAGTTCATTTTACTACGGGAGACAGAAAGAGATGGTAATTTCAATAATACAGTGATGTTGACCTTTAAACACTTCTATGTCCTACTTGGACAATTTCAAACTCTCTTAATAATTCATTTCTCTTAAAACACTTTTGTCAAGTATTGGCGACATTCTCCTACACAATGGATCATACATCAAATAACTCACCAGAAAGAAATCCCATTGTTACACACTCTCTCTTGCCTTTAATGTACATACATGTACATGTACACGTAATGTAGTATGTGGCTTGAAACATAAAAAAATAATAGCAATGTTCGTGCCTAAATAAATGTACAGGTCAAATTTGTGATACATTTACATGTCTTTCATAGTTGATTACTTGAGTTAGTATGAGGAGAGAAACACAAAAGAGGGGCATCAGTGGACGAAGGTAGATTCAATGAACACCAAACTCTTTGAGAACAGAGAAATGTAGTACCTATATTACTATGTAGAGAATAACTGTGTTATAAACCTAGAGCAACATTAATACAATAACTACATGATGAATCTTACGCTCACAGCGGAACAGCCTTAACAGATTTACAAAATAAACTTGACTTTAATGAATAAAACTTAGCATCTGTAAGTATCTTGGTGCACTGCAACTAAAGAGATGGAGAAGTAAAATGGGCAAAGAGAGAGAGGTACATATAATAGTCTTACATAGTCAAACCCTAATGCATATATAGCAGTGAAGAGCAATAGCAATAATATTTGTCAGTAATGCAATTAAGTGCCCAATTAATGGTAATTTGCAACATTATACTGACACAGACCTAAATTACCATGCTGAAATACATATCCATTAGACACCATTTACCATTTTCATCAATAGTACTATATTTTATGAAACATAACCTTGTAATGTTTGATACAGGTAAAAATTTACACACCCATAAGGCACGCTAAGTGAGATAAACATGCACAACAATATACAGTACAGCAACTTCATAATTCAGAAAAAATCAAATTTGATGAGAATCAGTTCGAAAAAATTCACAATTAAAACACAGGAATATGCACATGTATCAGAAAAAATTGTATAAAAGGAGAATGATGTAATTTGGCCACAGTCCCTATACTACATGTATAATAGGGTGTTGTCCAAATTTCATAAAAAGTTAAAGTTACACTAAATACAATATCTACTATTCCCATTCAGTACCTACTGTACAAAGTACCCAATGGCACTCGCTCTCCCTTTCTCCCTCACTCATTACTAACAGTATCACTCATTGCAATGATAAGCTATATGTACCATAATGCACAATAGTACATGTACATATTCCAGTAACAACATAAGTACCCATGGTACTCTCCTTCACTCCACTCACTGACTCAC